GTGCCCAGCGTGAGTTTTAAGCTACCGGGTCTGGGTCTTGAACAGCGGTCGACTACGTGGGAGTCCAGCGACATAGCCATTACGCTAACTGCTGGTCCCAAAACATTTTATATTTAACATCAAATTCTGTAAAGCATTTACTCCCTTGAAGTTTAATGGCATTCAAATTTCCTTTTTTAAGAGGTCAAAGTAAAAAGATTTGAAGACTATCTCCAAGTCAAATGTTCAGAATCAAACTTCCTTAAAAAGAAAGATCATCACCACTCGATCTCGTATCTGCTTAGTTCTTACCCCATAAATAAGGGGGTTAAGAGCTGGGGGGATGATCACATATAAGTTAGCCAGGAGGATGTGGATGTAACGTGGAATATTGTGGCCAAATCGATGAGTCATAAATGAGAAAAATGCTGGGGTGAAGAAAGCTAAGATCACACACACATGGGAACCACAGGTATTGAGAGCTTTGAGCCTGGCATCCCAGGATGGAAGTTTGAAGACAGCATGAAGAATCTTTACATAAGAGATAGCAATCAAAACAACATCCAAAAGTATCATAGAGATAAGGGTTAATCCAAACAATACATTGACCTTTATGCTAACACAAGCTAGTCGGGCAATGCCCATGTGTTCACAATATGTATGAGGTATAATATTATGCCCACAAAAGGAAAGCCTTAGAAGAAGAAATATAAGTGGAAAAACCAATACAAAGTTTTTCAGCATTCCTACTCCAACAATAATGCAAATTGTGCGGCTGGTGAGGATCGTGTTATATCGAAGAGGGTGGCAAATGGCAACATAGCGATCAAAAGCCATGGCTACAAGCATAAACGTTTCAATGCCTGTAAATAGATGTATGAAGAACATTTGGGCTAAGCATCCTACAAAGGCAATCTCTCTCAAGCCAAACCAGAATATGCCCAGCATTTTGGGAATGGTTGCAGTGGACAGGCCCAAGTCTGTCAGAGCCAAAATTGCCAACAGGTAGAACATGGGCTGGTGAAGGCTGCGCTCAACCTGGATCACAAAGAGGATGATGACATTCCCCAGAAGGGCAATCAGATACACTGTGCCAAATGGGAAACCAAGCCAGAGTTGCACATTTTCCAGTCCTGGGATTCCCAACAGCAGAAAGGATGAGGGGTGAATCCATGAACTATTGGCTGAGGACATACTGGCAAGGGCCTTCAATGTTCACACTTATTTGAAGAAATCTTTAGCTCTGTACAAGACTTCTCAACATCTCATCAATATTGCTAATACTGAAAGAGAACAAAATAGATGTAATAAGTACATTTTCTCTTGGAGTACAGAAGAAAGATCATATTTTCCTTCATACTTCCTTTCCTCCCTTTTGCTTTTCATTGATATATTTGGTGAATGGAAAGAACATTCCTGAAGAAATGGATAGATATAGGACTGAATGACATAACTTAATTTTAGTAACATAAGGAAACAAGCCAGTCAGTACAGTTGACCTTTATGCTGACGTAGGCCAGATGGACAATGCCCTCTTATACTTGGACTATAATTTATATTTGTTGCTAGCTTTTTGAGAGATTTAATTTTAAGTTGGGAGAAGATGCACACATTACTATACCATTGGAAAATGAGGTCAAGCTGGGAACATGGAGGACATTGCAGGTTTCAGAAGCACCTTTAAAGATTGATTATTTAACTAGTTATACGAGTCTAATATATGCTTTTGGGCCTTTCCACTTATATCAAATGGCTTTTTATTTCTCCTCTTCATATGTTCTATCTTTCTTCCTCAAGCTGCTTATTAATAACTTCTACCAAAATCTAACCATTTTGTAGCTTTTTCTTTTTTTGAAATTGTGTTGTTACCTTTTATCATCCATGGAAAAAAGACATTTTGTTTTGTTCTTTGAAACAATAATTTTGCCTTATCAAGGGACCGATTTTGCAAAATTCGGTGCAAGAGTATAGATTTTAGAGATGAAGCCACCATTGTTTTGATTGACTCATATTTAAAGCACTGACTGACTCCTTCAGGCTCCCTTCACAATGGATAACTTGGTCTCACTTAATTCTAAATGGAGACTCATGGATACTGTTACCATTATTACCATTATCTTTATCATTGGCATTGCTATTAGGAGGAAGAGAACAATTGTGGAAATAACTGTACCATATAAATATTTAATATTATTTATTTTCCAAGGAAATTTCAGACATATTACATCACTTGCTGTTTCTACCAGCTGAGAAAAATAAGATAGAATCTATGCCTGAATAAGTGGACTTATTTTATGTCTGGAGCACAGATACTTGCCTCCATCCACAGAGTGAGGCTTCTCTGTTATGGCTACCCAACTCTCTGACCTCCTGCTATTACCAGGGCTTTTTCTAAATGTATGTGTTCCTTGATTTTTGTTTAGACTCAAACATTTAGTCATTATTCAGTTTCTTGAGCTAAATCATGCTTCATGATCAACAGCTTCAGGTTTTCTCCTGATTTGCTTTTCCTTATTGTCTATTACATCTTGAATATTTTACTAATGTAGTTGGTAGTTGATCTAAATTCACATTTCTGAAAAAGAGGGAGCCAAGGATGAGTGGGTTCTCTTTTTTTTTTTTTGGAGAGGTTTTTCGCTATAGGGTGTGTGTGCTCACCAGACAGACAGAGAGACAGAGAGGCAGAAAGAGAGAAATCATCCCCCAGGGGGATGATCGTGCCGCAATCCCTTCTCCTCCATTCTCCTCTCGGGATCTTGGGCACGCACACACACGCACCCAGCGTGAGTTTTAAGCCACTGGGTCCGGGACGCGAACCACAGTCGACTACGTGGGAGTCCAGCAACATAGCCATTATGCTATCTGCTGGTTCCCAAGTAGGTTTTTAATTATAATCCATAAGGAATAGCCCCTTGAAGAGGATGAAATAATATTAATGACATCTTTCTAGGAGTCAAGGAAGTCTAGAACATTGTACAATATACAACGTGCTTCAAATTTTAGGAAGTTGATTTAGATTTTAAGAATAGTAGAAGAATGATCCTATGACAAAAAAAAAGATGAAATCTCTAAATATAAAAATTGTACTTGTGGGAGGGAATCTATGACAGGTATGAGGAAAAGAAAAGAGAAACTAGTATTATCTTTCCATTACTCCTCCAGGCCTGCACTTTTTTTTTCTCTCTCAGAAAGGCCCTTACAGAACTCAGTGGCTTATAATAGTTTCTTCCAGACCCTCTAGTTCTGCTACATAGCACTTAGTGTGACTATTTAATCAATGTCTGAGTTCCTAATGACTCGTTAGCTTCATGTAGAATTGAGGGGGGAGACAGGGAATGGTTTTGTTCATCATTATTTCTCCAGCACCACATCTGGACTATAACAACTACTCAAAGCATTTGTTAATAAATATTGAATAAACAAGGAATTAATGTCAACTGCTAGTAACAAATTCTCATGTTAGAAATGTAAGAACAGAAATCACACACTGTACTTGGCAGCTAAAGATGGATAAATGAGAGAGAAAACTGTAAACAGTAAAATCATCATAAGAAGATCCTTAGGTATTAAGAAAGATGATTCTTTGATCAGAGGCTTTCCAGACAAGAGGGATCGTCAATGGATCTGTGATGTAATAACGGGAAACTACAAGGCAGACATTCTAGGGAGAGTTTGGTAAAAGCAGGTCATCCTGACAATCAACCAAAATGGAAAATAAAATATTACTGATGAATTTATTTATGCATAATTTCCTATTTTTTTTGGAGAGGTTTTCGCTACAGGGCACATGCACTCGCCAGACAGACAGAGAGAGACATAGAGACATAAAGCGAGAAATCATCCCCCAGAGGGGATGGTCACGCCACAATCTCTTCTCCTCCATTCTCCTCTCAGGATCTTGGGCACGCACACACATGCGCCCGGCGTGAGTTTTAAGCCACTGGGTCTGGGACACAAACCGTGGTCTACTATGTGGGAATCCAGCAACATAGCCATTACGCCAACTGCTGGTTCCCTGTTGTGCTTTTTTATGGCATCAATAAAGAAGTTTCCTAGTGATGCATTTTCAATCTTGCAGGGTCAACTCATTTTCAGCAAAAATCATGATCTACTCCATATCAGGGTATCAAAATGAAGAATTGTGCAAGGGGCAAAAGAATAATGCCAGAAATGTGTTCAGCCTTAAACTTATTCAGATCCTTAGATGTGCAGGGCCTCGCCACAGGAGAGAAATTGACTAGGAGAAGTTGGATGGGAATTAATTTTCACAAGACAGTCTCGTTTTATGCATGACCTATTTCTGAGCCCTTCATTCTCTCTATATACAGCTTTATCCTTACATGGAATGAGCAACCAAAACTTAGAAGTTGTGTTAAAACAAGAAAGAGGAGTGTTCCATCAAGTATTGTGCAGTGCTGGACAAAGATAGCTTCTTGCTGAGACCAGACTTGTTCCTCTACATTACATTGAGCAGGACTACTTCAGGAGTAGCTGGTGACCTTTGCCTGCTATACCTGGGAAAATTTGGAGATGGGATAATGTTAAAAATGCCCAGGTTGTGGGACCAGCAGTTAGTGTAATGGCTATGTTGCTGAACTCCCACGTAGTCGACCACGATTCGTGTCCCGGACCCAGTGGCTTAAAACTCACGCCGAGCGCATGTGCGTGCGTTCCCAAGATCCCGAGAGGAGAACAGAGGAGAAGGGATTGCGGTGTGGCCATCCCCCCTAGGGCGTGATTTCTCGCTTTCTGTCTCTCTGTCTCTCTCTGTCTGTCTGGCGAGCGCACGCGCCCTATAGCAAGAACCTCTCCAAAAAAAAAAAAAAAAAAATGCCCAGGTTGTAAAATATCCTAGATGCTTTCTTCATAATTTATATATAAGATATATATGAACTCAAACTAGATTCACTCTCCCAACTCAAATGAAATAGACAGATAGAAGAAGAACTAAATAAATACATTTTCATGATCTGAAAGTTGGGGAAAGAGGATCTTAGACTGGGAGAGTGGGTGAGTGAGTTCTGCCAACTGCCTTCTTTGAAAGAAAGAAAAAGAGATGTCAGTTTTAAAAAACTTGACTTTTCCACTGTGCATATGTTATATGTAATTGCAACTTATATATGTAATGCCGATATAAAGCAAGTTTATTCTGTATGTAAGCATGTACTCATGTATGCACACATCAGAATGGAAGGCATTTATTATGTATTTTTCAGAAATTACATACAATTATTTCAGTTCTAGAGATATTAAAATATTCCAAAAAAAAATCATTTATTAGTGACAATAAAATAAATATAGATAATGTATTAACTTAGAAAAACTTTGAGAATACTATGTTTTAGATATTAAACACACACACTAAAAAACTTAAATAACCAGTAGCATGACAAAGTCAGATTGAAAGAGAGAGCTGAGGAAGGGGAAAATGGCAAAGGGAGAAGAAGAGAAAAGAGAGAAGAAAAATAGAGAAAAAAGGAAAAATAAATTCAACAATATCTCAACCAAACTAATAGCTCGTTTGAGGTTTTACATTTTCTCTTTATTTCCTTATTATTAAAAGTAGGCATATTGGTTGTTAAATTTAAAAAAAATTGAACACTAAATTATGCAGAATCAGCTGAATTCTAGCAATCATAAACAAGCATATAAAAATATGTGTTTATCTCCTCCAAATAAAGATTCATATTATATAAAAAGTTAATAGGGAGATTAAACCAATCAATCCAAGTTAAATCTTCTCAATTTCTATGACCAAAATGTATGGTAATTAAGTCTTTATTCAACTTACCAACTTAAGAAATAGCCAATATTGAAAGAATTAGTGCATTCTTACTGATAACTGCTCCAACTGTGATTGATCTCCATAACCATAGTTCAAGGAGAAAAGGTTATACTGGATTGAAAATCTCCTTGACCAGGACTAGCTGTTCTGGGGCTCCATGAAATGAGAACATGAAAGACAAAGAATTCACAAATTCTCACCATAGGTTTATGAACATAAGAAAGCACATATATATAGGAATCTCTTGGGAATTCCAAGTTTCTCTTCTTAGGTTCCCAACTTGCAATAATTTCTTATTTTCTAATCATTCAGTTTCTATTTACTCTGTCACCATTAATCCCATAAGAATAATTTGAGGTAACCTATAATTCCCATCTTATTACCCAAGGATATTATATTCTCTAATGAC